AGCAACCCTCCCCCCCCCTTCCCATAACGGTTCGACATTCAATGTCGCGCTCGAATAAAATATTACCACTTATTTAACGTTTTTTTCGAATTTACGCGGGAAAAATAAGAAATATTTCGAAATTAATTACGGTTAATCAAAAAGTTCGTACGTTTAATGCATCATAAACTGTGCAAACAATGGAAATATTTTTACCAAATCAAAAAATTTACTTTGAAAATATTAAATAATTAAAAAAGCTTACGAATTTATTTGGTTCACCCTAGATACATACATACACACATACATACATACACCATGAAAATTTGTATTGGTTCGTAAAAAGATTAAAACGAGTAGTGGGGAAAAAAGAAGAAAAAAAAAAAGGTTAGAAATAATTGAGAACGTAGTAGCAGGTATTATTATAAGTTTGTATGCAAAAATACGAAGACAGGTAAGCTTACGTTTTATATCTAATGCGTTGACGCGTTATAGAAAATTTCTATAAATAATTCAAATGTCCTCTTTGGTTTCGCGGTTGCGTACGTGTAACGTAGGATACTCGAGAGAGAAAGAGTGCAAAGAGAGGAGTCATCAAGTTGGCGTTGCAGCAGACTGCTGCTCTTGCACTCAGATTTTTCTTCTCTCTCTCTCTCTCTCTCTCTCTCTCTCTCTCTCTCTCTCTCTCACTCGCTCAATCATTCTCTCTTTTCTCCTCTCTTCCAGAGCAGAGGGTGAAGATCGTAGTAGTAGTAGTGGTGGTGGTGGTGGGTGGTGGGTGGTGTATGATGGTGATGGTTGCAAAGGTGATATGGCGTTGATGTCGTGAACGTTAGACCTCGAAACAGCGACCTCAACATTTCTTCAGGAATTCTGCACGAGAGGAAGAAAAAAAAAAAGAAAGGAAAACCCATTAGGATCCACGACTAACGAAATAACACAAATCGTTTGCGTTTCTAAGCGAGTCGTTTCTGGGGTTGTTGCATCCCAGAGAAGTCGAGGAAGGTGAAACGAGAGAAGAAAGAAAGAGAGAGAGAGAGAAGAAAAATACTGGAGTAGGTTCATTGGATTTTCGGCGTCGGCGTTAGCGACGTCGACGCCTCTCGCGAGGGGGTGAGGTGGGGTTGGGGTGGGAGGGGGTAGGAGGAGGAGGAGGAGGAGGTGGAGGATGCAGGGAGAGCAACTTAAAGGACGCACCTCGCGAGCGTCATCGACGTCCAGCCTCGGACGCGAGGTTCGTTGCGGTTGTCAATATTATCAAAGTGATTCCCTATTACCGGAACGTCAAGCTAGAATTGGGAGACCATCTTCCAGGACAGGAGGAATGCAAGAGTTACCAACTTCCAGGCTCCCATGCAGGTTAGTTCATTTTTTCCTATACAATTCCCACCCCCACCCTCCTCTGCCTTCCATCCATTCAAAATCCACCACCATCATCATCATCATCATCATCATCATTATTATCGCTACTTCTACCCACCACCACTGCTACCCACCACCACCACCACCCAGCAGCAGCAGCACAACCGAGAAAGAACGAAATCAACTCTCGTGAGAGATTCCTCTGAAGCAACCGTCGTGTGTGTGGTGGCTGGGTTGGTTACAGCATTCAAGAGCCATTGCAAATTCCCGCGGCTATTTAAGGTTCGGCCAGCTGGCTATAGTTAGAATCGACGGATCAGCTCCCGGGTTTTCTTTCCGTTACGGGTGTCCGGTCTGGTCCGGTCCGGTCCGGTCTGGTCTAAGTCCAGTCATCCATCTAACGCGCACGTTAAGACTCATAACGCGTGCACAACTAGATCGCGCCTAAATCGCGCTGATTTTGTTTTACCGGTTTGCGATACGACGTGTGTGTGTGTGGGGTTACCCTTCCTTCCTTATTTTTTACTAGACGTGAGCGCGCGCGCGCGCGCGTACCCACGGGGGATTCACCACTCATTAATCGAACGAACGAGATCGATCGAAATCGAAATATATATATTATTATAAATGTTGGGTATATAAATGTATATAAATGTTGCCGAATAAAAAAAAAAAAACTAAGGGAATTAGATTTTTCGGTGATCTACAGAAAAATGTGCAACGCGATCGGTAAGATTTGATTCGGATGATTATTGGGGAGATTAATCAAAAGTTCGTGAGTTTGTTGTGTTTTGAAATTTTACTTTCTTTTTTTTTTAAACTGTATAATGGAATTGGTTTTTTTTCTTTTTTTTTCACTTTTGATGAAACTTAATATTTCAATTGAACGGATCAATATATTAATGATTAATAATATAATAATATTGATAATAAA